GTGTTCTTAATGTATTTTGATGAGTTGTCACCTTTTTTCAGGAATTTTAAGAAAAGGGGAATAATCAGCGTGAAACGGGGTAGCTATAAGGATAAAACAGGATATAGGTAGGGTTATCCCGCCCTTCGATATATTGATCTGTGTTTATCGATTATTGATATATTGTCCGATATGGAACAGGATGGGAAAGTGGCATAATCAATTTGAAACGGGATAGATAGAATAAATCAGGATAGATATGGGTAAAATAGGATATAGATAAGGATAAAACGGGATGTATTGATATTAACCGGGACAAAAGGGATGTTTGTCGTGTTTAAAATTTTTGCTGTGTTTGTTGTGTTTAATGTGTTCGTTTCTATTCCACTCAACCCGACTATATTTTATCTTCAACTATACAGGGTATCCCCAAAGTCCCTTCCACCCCCTCTAAAATTTAACGTAATTAATATTTTAAAACAAAATTTCGGGAATGTCAAAACATGGCTGCTTATTGGTGAATCTGCATGAGACTTGGTATCAGGAGGCATTTCGACATGAGAAAGACGAATTCGTCATTGGATTTTTGATATTCTGAATAACTTCAAAATGACGAAGAAAATGGTGATAACTTGATATTACGGACGTTTACGGGTAGATTCGCAAGCTGCCATTTTGAAAATATTTGACATTTCAGAAATGCAATGCGGAGGAGTCATTTTTTGTCGAACCAAAAACCAACAGGACCCAGAGTTTCATTCGCGTCCCACCGTAAACGTCCGTAGTCTTGCACCAAACCATCCACCAAATTTCCGCCATTTTCCAGATTAAAAAAGATTGATAAGCATAAAACTGCATTAATCCCGTCTAATTTAAGTTCATCCTAATTCGTTTTCCATGAACGTTTTTAAATAACAGCATTTCATCAAACTAGAGAAGCTTAAATTAACGTCATTTCATTTCGCCTTCAATTTTAGTGTAGGCAACAGCAGCTTCCGCGTGGTCGAATTGCGGTATCGTCGTGAAATGGCACGCTCACTCCGGCAAAACAAGCGCCCATTTGGTCGGATACGGGTACATCATCCCCGAAACAATATCGCCTTAATGCTCCCCATTATGAAATTAATAATTTTTTGTGAAGCATCTAGACCCGTGACTTCAGTCACGGGCTTTCCGCTAGTTATACAATGGTTCCTTACATAGCTATCGTAGGTAAGAGGAGTTGCGGCTACCTGAAATGAAGGGGAATAATTAGCGAAAAACTAAAGAGAGTTCAATGATGTATAAGAGTGGAATTTGTTTCCTAGAATGCAAAACGAAAATGAAAGTGAGATGAGGAGATGGTAAAAAATCTTGACTTCAAAAGATATCAAATATTTTGAGGTTTGAGACTGAAAAAAGAACTGCGTATTTCATCCCTTGCCATCTTCTCGAAGGAAGCAAATCCAATTATCTTTCCTTGTATTAGTGACCCAGGCAACCGAACTAGCTTCAAAGGTAAGCTGGTTGCGTCCAAGACTAACTGAAGGGGACTCTCAGCAGAATTTATTTCCCGTTTGCTCGTTCTAGTTCTGGGGCGTACCTATACTTAAAAAATCTTGACCTCAAATGATGTCAGACATTTTGAGGTTTGAAATGTAAAACAGAATTTCAGTTGCTTTTCTTTTCTCCTTTCGTAATTTTCAAGAGATTAGTATTCCCCCCCCCCTCTCCTTTTTTAAAATTTGTTTAGATAAATACCTATTAATTTTGTGATAAGATCTCATAGGCTTGGCAGAATTTTTACCCTTTTTGAGGGTTTTTTGTGGTTATATCAGTTACTTTTGGTTTTTCTGCATATGCTGAGACCATTAGACGCTTAATAAAAGGGAGAAAATTGTTAAGCTATGAATATTGGTGGGTAAGGATTCATTACAAACAAAGTTCCCTCTTGATGTTATGCTTCCCTTGGAGATGAAAAATATTTCTATCCAAATTTTAAAGACAGGGAGAACAAAATTGAATACAGGCACTCACAATAAAATACTGCTAGTATATTCATGCTAGTATATTCCTGCATGCTAGTATATTCCTGCATTTATCCTCTTTAAATGGAGTTATGAGGTGAAGCTTAAACTAAGGACATGACTTGAAAAACTATGTTAGGTGAAAAAAAAAAAAAAAAAAAAAAAAAAAAAAAAAAAAAAAAAAGGTCAACTTTGGTTTGAATGACATTTACTTAATCAGAGTATCCAAAATTTTACAGTTGGTTACCTTTGAATAACCTCTGCTTGATTCCTCGCAGAATAATTCCAACAGGGATCAGCTCATATATTTTGAAAAATGTGCTCCAATTAATTTCAAATTAAAAAAACTCAGCAGCATATTAAATCAAAGTGAGTAAGAATAGAGATCTTAGCAGTGTATAGTATAGAGTATCACTTAAATTCCTTCCGTTCAGTGCAAATACATTTGCCCCATCCGCTATTTGCTTCGAGACTCAATAGCTATAGTAGCAATGTCCGCGGAGATGCCTTTGCTTATAATATCCTACGGGAGCAAGGAAAGATAAGGAAACTTGAAAATTGCAATGCAAATTTCTTGAATGAACCTTCATAACTAGCATGTATTTATCAACATACACATTCTCTGAAACTATACTATGGTTTGAGCACTATAGTGATAATTTGCGTGACAATCACAACACACAATTAGAGTGTTCTAAAGGGTTTGAAGATAGAGTGGCCAGCAGCCTGATTGTTGAAATTTTTTGTTTGTCGGGACCACATAGATCACATAGGTTGAAAGGCAGAGCGTGATTGGTTGGCTATGTTTTATCGCTGCTTTGTCGTGCCTATGTCGCGTTGAACTAACAACAAGCTACCGGCACCTCTCAAGTTTCCGACAGTATGCCATCCATTCCACCTGAGAAAGGCACGACAAAGCAACGATAAGACATAGCCGACCAATCTCGCTCCGCCTTTTAACCTATGTCATCTATGTTGTCCCGACAAACAAAAAAATTCAACATTCAGGCCGCTGATGGATTTTGCACGGTCACTGTGGTCTGGCATGGTTCAGCAAATATTGATTCTGACATTAGGTAACAGGTAACACACATTGAAATAGCTCAGCACATACCTTAAGTAGAATTTTGGCATCCGACTCGGCATAGATTTGTTGCTAAAACTACTGCCGCTGCCTTTAAATCCTTGATATGGGTCTCTCTTAAAACCAGATTATAAGCATTTTTTGACATCGAACAGATTTCCGCAGGGATAAGGGTACTAAAATTCACTTATTGTCATAGGTACTTACAGTTTTGTTGCAAACGAATGAACCACGGATGGTACACTGAACTTGTAGCACGGTAATAACGGTAGGGACAAAATTTAGAGATAGTAGTGAACAATAAATAGTGACTTGTGTATGGTGTTATTGCTAAAATTTTTGCTACATTTGCAAAATGTTGGCTGAATTAGCTTATGGTCTTGCTTTTTTACTAATTATTTCGCGAAACTCACTAAAATCAATCGCCTCTTTAGCATTCTGAATATTGCGATTTCCACTGCCCGATAAATGGCTGTTTATACAAGATACTAGCCGTTCTGGACGCGCTTTGCGCGTCCGTCACGGCCAGCCAAGGGGCTGCGCCCCCTGGACCCCCGATCTCTCACTACTCGAGGGACATTCGGCTTTGATCACTAAGTTTGCATAATTAGTAATCATATCCTCATTTCATTTCTTTCCCTTTCCTTTTTCCTTTTTTGTAGCATCTTGGTCCATTTACAATTATTATTTTAAAATAGCTTTCCCCTAGTATACAATAAATGGATGCTTCAAACGGAATCAATTGTTTTAATGACATTTCCGGCTAAATCATGGGTTTTCCCAGGAGGGCAGCCTCTCGTCCCTCCCGGACTCCATTGTTGCCGGGTAAGTTGCTTTTTTAGCACTTTTCCCAATTCAAATCCATGTAAAATATTGACATTTATCGCACAATCTGGCAACCTCTCGAGTGAAATAGAAAAAGGTGGAATCGCTGAAAGTCTGAATCCTTCGAAGTTTATATTAATGATGATGATGATGATTAATGATACTGCTAATGTAACGTTTTTTGTGATTAGAACAGTTGAAAAAGATATTTGTACAGTTTAATTTTGCCGAATGAGCAAATTGTGTAATTTTGTTTGTGTGCATATTTTCTGACTGGAGCGGCAAGTAAATCCTCGAGACTCTCGTTTGAGACATCCGCGGACCTAACTGAACCCCAAAAAATAAACAATATTTGGCCTTCTCGCAATGTTTTTGCCAGGCCCTATTCGGACCCGTGGTTCCAGGACCATACACACCGCGCTAAGAAAGAAGACTGAAAGCAATATTTCTGGAGATATAAGACTTAAAGCATCGTTTCTTAGTGATTTTTTTTTTTTTTTTTTTTTTTTTTTTTTTTTTCTGTGAAAAGAAACGTTATGTTTTGTTCTCGTTTTCGCAATTTACAAACTTAACGATAGCAAAACGACACTTTTTTAGCCCATAAAATTGATGCAGATTCAACTCAAAAAACAAGATTTCGGAGACAAAAAATGACGCTTTAAATCAAAATAATATCTCAAGAAAATTTGTTTTCCGTGAGGCCGTATGTAAACGTTCAAGAATTGCCAAATTCCCTTGGTTAAAACACGTATATATGAGGAATGTTATGCATATTTTCCTCGACATGTTCAGGCATTTTCAATTAATAATTGATAGCGTAATTGTCTGAAAAGTTTGGGACAATATTCACAATTTTCCGACTAAATTCGTCTTTTATTAAGGAAATTTGACAACTGTTACAGGTTCATACGCTGTTCTTCTCCAACACGGGAGTTGAAGTGCTCCAGCCTCGAAAATATTCGGTCTGCACTCTTCTTCTCGGTCTTGGCTCGAGGGCCAATTACGCCAGCGGAGCCCTAGCCGTGGCTCCGATTGGCCCGTCGCGCCCGGGCGGCCGTGAGCGGCAGCGCTGCACGGGGCATCACGGCGGCGCCGCGCCGCGCCCGGACAATGTTTACCAATAGCTCAGTTCCCCGACGCTCGTCTCCCCCAAAACTCGTCCGTCCAAACCGCAGTCTTAACCGCAACCGGCTCGCGATCGTTTCAGTGCTCCGATCTCACGGGTTCCATTAGGTGAGTCATTCCGTCTACCGGACTTAGAGGTTATAATTCCTCGTTTATTCCCTTTTAGTTGTGAGAATATTTTTTGTTTTTACTCCTTCCTATTGATTTGCGAATCTACAGTAACCTGCGGGCTGATTGTTAAAATTTTAGTCAGAATTTTAGACGAAGAAGACGAAAGGGGTATGGAGGGCTCCTATTGGTTAAAGGGGTGGTTGCAATGGACAAAGGAGGCAGGTAATAGACTACCTAAAGGCAACTCATGAGCGACCCTACAGATAGTCCATCAGTTACCCCCTTAGTTCACAGGATCCTCCCATTTTAACCACTGGGAAAGCTCCGCACTCCTTATTTCTTCTTTTTCAAGCCAATTTCTTAGTTCTAAATTTATACAAAATAGTTTCCTAACAGGAAAGAATAACAAAGGAAGTGTTCAAGAAATTACGTTGAGTAGTTTTCCAAAGGAAAAATGAGGTATAATAGAAAATCTGCAACGTTACAGAAGCAGCTACGTGGCTCCGCGCTTTAGACATTGATATGTGGACAGTATAAAAAAGGAGGGTTCAATGAATGTTTAAAGGATCAATTGAGTTGGATATAGAGCAAGAGAAGTGAAACAGGCAATGGAAGAACCTTCGGAGCCAGATAATTCCTCGTTTCCCACACGAAGGTACGTATCTCCCTTCCGCGGTTACAAAATTGACCAAAAGAATTCAAGTATGAACAAGAATATGACTATGGAATCTATGCCCGAAATTTTTCCGATTTTGGTGGCTAATACGAGGAAATTTCACATAAATTTTCAATTTGATGCGCCCAACAGGAATTTTGCTATGGAAATTTTGCAACATCGACATTTAGATAAAAGCTTACGTCTGGGAAAGGACGGTTTCGAGGTTCCGATGGATTTGCACGTGGGTCGGGTTTTGCTCTCGGTTAAAGATACGACTGAAAAGCTAAATTCATTGAAATTCTCTTCAAGGTTTAGGATGGTCTCTTGCGGTGAAAAGCAGCGGAAAGCAAACAGGCTCCCATATTCAGTCGTCTTAAGTGTACTTATATAATTGTACTAGCCGTTCTGGACACAGTCAGCCAAGGGGCTGCGCCCCCTGCACCCCCGATCACTCGCTACGCGAGTGACATTCGACAGTCCAATTCGCTCCCCAGATCTTTACAGAGGATTATAATTATTTTTGTTTGTTTTTTCAAACGAAGTTCAATTGAAATTAACGTAAATACTACAAAAACATGCCTCATATCTAACTATAAAATGATTTTACATTGCGGAGAGAAAATGGCATGATTTTTACAAACCTTAAAGGAAGGTTATACCTAACTAGCCGTTCTGGACGCGCTTTGCGCGTCCGTCAAGGCCAGCCAAGGGGCTGCGCCCCCTGGACCACCGATCACTCGCTACGCGAGTGACATTCGACAGTCGGCTCGCTCCGCCTCCATTTTTCTTAGTGATTGGACATTTGATCACTAAGATGTATACATTTTGGAGACTCTGGAGGCAAGAATGATTTCGTCACAGAACCTTGTTGCCGGAGCGTGCCATCATTTGCACATGAATAGATGTTTGCAGATAAAGTGATGATGGGGATCGATCATTTCTTCAAAAACGCATTTGACTGGGACGCCACACTATGGTCCCAATTCACTTTTCAGTGATCAAAAATCATAGCTGCTCTCCGTTTGAGTATAAATACATTTAACATATGTTTTCCTCATGATTTTGATGCGCTGAATGCGAATTTGACCTCCGCTTTTCCCTAAAAAATCATTGGCAAAAGTTACCGTCATTTTTTTACATAAATCACAAACTGCCATACGATTGGCTTGTTATACTTGCTTAGATTGGATGAAAACCATGCGTTCATTGCACATACATGTACAGTTCATGCAAAATTAAGGATGTTTTAATTTTCNTTAAGGATAACTAAACTGAAAAAAATGAAATAGATCTAAAATTCATTTGTATTTTAAAAATGTCGAAATAATGCTTCAGAGAAGACTTTTCTTTATGTTGATTTGCCGGGAGACGCAAATCGGGTACATAACAATGTTGAAGAGCGGGGGGTACAATATTGTCACGTTAAGGAAAATTCAATCAAAAATGGATAAATATTTGGGGGAGTAGGTAAGGCATTTTACATCAATAGGTACTTTCTAGCATGGAAAAGAGCATTTTTAAATATAAAACTGCGGAACGGAAAACTTTTCAAAAAAATCTCAAAAAGTAGGGGGAACCAAATTTTTTTCGAAACGGTCAACCTCAAAAAGATTCATAGAAGCTACATAATGGCGTCTCTGTAGATGCAAAATTGCTTAGCACGTGTTAAGGCTACAATTACAGGTGTTTTTCAGGGCAAAAAATTGAGTTTTTCTGGGGCAAACACGTTGTCACGTAAAAAATTCAAATTTGGTCGAAAAAGCAGGCGGAAGCGTTTATTTTTGGTTCGGTTGCCTTCCTAAGGATCTGTAGAAACGACTTAAAAGTGTCTCTGGAGGTGCCAAATGTCTCAGAATATTTTTTGAGGGGCTTTCCAGGGTTGTAATACAGTATTTTGAAGGAAATACGCAGGTACGAAGAAGATTCAAAATTCGTTCAAAAAGCAAGAAGAACCAACAATTTTTGGTTTAAAATCCCTCTTAAGGATTCATAGAGACTACTTAAGCACGTATTTAGAGGTGTCGCATGCCTCAAAAAAGTTTAAGACGACTGCAGATTGATCGATGGCTAAACTTGCTAAATACCGTTATTTTAGCCACCGACTTAGAGACCTAATACATTCGATTTCTCGAGAAAAAGCAAACCAAAGCACGAAATATTTCTACTGTAGCTTTCCAAGGATGTGTAGAAGCTTCCTATAGGTGTCTCATTAGGTGACCTTTGGTGACTTTTTTTTAAAATGAAAGTACGTGGGAAAAATCGGCATTTTTTCATGAAAAATAGGTACCCAACTTCTACCTTGTGTAGAATGTATCAGAATGCCTCGGAGAAAAATTGTAATTAGTGCGTTACAATCCTCTTAGAGTCCTCTACAAAATGGTATAAGCAAAAATGATGAGAGACTATTTCATGATTCAGGAGAGGCTCCGAACGATTTGTTAGAAATAGCCACTTCACGGGTCGGAAAATACATATCCGACTATTCGCACAGTTTGTGACACTTTCAAAGTGACTAGAAATTTTTTTGAGGTATACTACGTGTAGTTTATGACCCGTAGATACTATATTTATCAATTTTAACTCGAAAAAAAAATGTCGTCCAATTTCATAAATATCGATTTTTGAGCGCTCCCGAGCGGATTGGGACCATAGTGCGCCATCCCATCGAGTGGCGGAAAAAGACAATCCATGGATCTCCTTCCGCGATTTGACTCGCTGAAGTAGCAAAAGTTCATCTTTACCTCTTAAGAAGATTATCGGTGGCGTAGGGGCCTAAAAACTGCTCAACGATAGTATAGTTCGAGTTCCAAGTCGCAATGAGCCCACTCGTGTTTTTTTCTTATATTTTCATCGCATATAAATTTCTCCGATGTTTTTGTTTTATTCTCTCTGATTGCATAATTAGTAATCATATCCTCATTTCATTTCCTTTCCCTTTCCTTTTTCCTTTTTTGTAGCATCTTGGTCCATTTACAATTATTATTTTAAAATAGCTTTCCCCTAGTATACAATAAATTGATGCTTCAAACGGAATCAATTGTTTTAATGACATTTCCGGCTAAATCATGGGTTTTCCCAGGTAGGCAGCCTCTCGTCCCTCCCGGACGCATATTCCCAAACCCCGCGTGGATTGTGAAAAATCTAGCCTGTCCTCAAAATCGTTAGCCGCTGCCTTCTGAGCCCTGCCGCGGTCGGCATGGGCCTCTTCAGCAAGTGGCCTTGGGCACTGCGGCCATCCTCTCTCCTTTCTCCTTTCTCCCGTCTCGCGTCTCGCCGCCCCGTCTGATTGTCTCTTCAACCCTTCGGAATGAATGGGGGTGACCTCGCGGTCCACTCTTTTTGTTTTCCGGAAAATATCTTCTTCCTCCTCAAAACAAGCCCTTCGCAGAGTTGTCACATGTTGAGTGCATTTTGAAATGCACCATTGACAGTATTTTTAGGTTTCTGCCTTCATTCATTATGTTCAGTCTCTCAAACAACGTAGTTGAATGATGAACTTTTTTTGGGGAACATTTATTTTTCATAAAAATTTCTATTCCTATTTAATGGGGTTTTAATAGCTCTCCTATTGATTCGGGTGAGACACCAAGTGCATATTCATCCTCGCAAATGCAGAGACTTTTTTTTATAACTTTTCTTCACCACCAGGTTTACTGTTTATCCTTTCAAGCAAGGTGATAGGTTCTGCGCAGAACTATATAAGTAAAAGAAAGGAAATAATTGAAAAAAGAAAAAAAAAATTACTTGAATTTTTCGTCAAGAATACTGCTCTTGAATCAAGAATAAGGTCACTGGAATAAGGCCGAATCCTGCTCGATATGAGCGGCAGCGGCTTTTTTCTCAAAGTAGGTACGCATTTTGCAGCTTAAGCCAAGAGAAATCTCCTCCTAGCGGCAAATTCAAGAATATTAATTCTTACGTAATCATTTTTTTCCAGTACAAAAGCTCCGCAAATTCCACTAATCAAAGAGGCTTGTGAGATGCATATGCATTGCGCTGCTCTAAAAATGTTCCGAGAGTTATTTTCCATCAAAAATGTTTTTTACAAAGAACATAACGGTAGGCATAGCCAATAGACAAGTTTATTGATCATGCGATCAACGAAGGTGACGTCATGACTTTGCATTGCGAAATTTTCGGCATTAAAAAATATTTCCACTGCACGTAATTTAGGCATTTTTCGGTGAAAGGGCGTACGAGACGTCCATTTCTGCTAAGATTGTGCAACGTAGTTCTCTATCCGACTGTTTTGCTGTTTATTTTTCGTTGAATCTGCTCAGAGTTTTTCCTGGCGATTTAAAGGACATAAATCGACTGTGAATGAATTTCATTTGCCGCG